ATTACATATTGTAAAAAGGGGCATAATATGTCTCCTTTAATTCAAGTTTGTGCATGCAAACTTCTACTTCTGTTACAGGTGAGCCACACATTCACAGATTACGGTCCGGACCTCCGCTTCATCTCTTTTGAACATGGCGGTCAAGACACCAAGTATTGGCAGGGCTGGTTTGGAGTGAGAGTGACTGGAAGCTCAGTTACCATCGACTTCTGAACACCAATCAGACAAAAATATGATTGATTAAAAAAGACCAGAAGAATTTTCTTGCAGCTTGCGTTGTTTTGCACATACTGTACTACGTGTAATACTAACTAAATATACAGCTGAAGGTGTACTGCACATGTAGGCCTTTAAACAAAGCATCTGATCAGATTATAATTATTTGTAGCTTCTTCTTTTTTTAACTACAGGTTGCTGTTTCTTCTCAAACACTAACTACCTCTATATGCTCCTGCAAGCTACACATTGAGCTTACATTGCACTTCTTAATGAAGTTTCTATATGCAACAGATCTGCAATTAACATAATCTCCTAATGCCATGTGCAATCTAAATAGGTCTGTCATGCCCATGACACTTAAAAATAATAAAGGAATGACAAAACATGATCTGTTCCTGGCCTTCCTTCATCAAATGATATATTGCATTTATAATTTTGCATTGAAACATTTGTGCTATTATATCATGACATGGCCTTTTTCATATGACTGCAGGCATTTGAAGAAATGTCCAAATCTACATTTTGCGGAAACAGTGATGCATTTTGTTTTTCAGGATTCCTTAATTATTAGAAATTTCAAAAGAATAGCATTTATTTAAAAATAGAAATCTTTTGTAACATAATAAAAGTCTTGACTGTCACTTCTGATCAATTAAATGCATCCTTGCTGAATAAAAGTATTAATGTCTTTAAAAAAAATCGTACTGACCGCAAACTTGATTGGCCCTACTTTTACTGGCCCTTCTATCAGTGTATACTGACTGTGGGATGCAGGAAAATAAGGCTCAGAGAAGGAAATCATTTTATATTTTTTTAAGAGATGATTTTTAATAACCAAATTTCAATCAAAAACCTAAACTGTTAAAAACCGCTTGTGTCAAAAGAACATTAACTATCATTAAAGTATGTCACATGTCACAAATAAATTAATCATAACCCAAAAGAGTGACAACTGTATCTTATTTTTCCTTCAGTCAACAGGTCACAAATTGTCTAAAATAGCTTTGTGCAATCATACATAATGTTCAGGACAATAAACATCGTGTATCATATAAAACATCAGTTAACAATGACAGTAAAAATGAAACCATCAGATGTTTAACATCCTATAGAGTGAATGAATGTCTTTTCAGGGCGGTTTCTCTGATAAATATGATGTACTATGATCTTTTTGGTTTTGTACATACTGACCACCGTTTGCGATTTGATTGTACACTCAGATTCAAGTAGTGTGTGTGTGTGCGTGTGTGTGTGTATCAATCTCCAACAAATACATTTTGGTTTAAATGTCAGGAGAGGAAAGGGGTGATTATCAAATGGTTTACAATAATACAAAAATATGAGTAACATCATAATGTAACCCTAACCTGTTTATATTTGCCCTGACATGAGTTTTTCTCATTCGGCTTGTGACTGCATCTGCTTCCAGAAGGCCTCAAACTGCTGCTGTTCAAGTTCAGTCATGACTTTGTTCAGGGCGTAAATCTGTAACACACCAAAAACAGAGAACAAACAAACGGAGATGAATTGATCTGAAATTAGCAATTTGAATTTTAAATGGAAATAAACAAAAACAGTTTAAGAATTTGAAATTTTAAAGTCATTAAATGCAAGTAAATGAATTATTGATTATATGAATTTGTACTGAAGGTTCCAATGAACCACAAGATAATGCTAAAACTTAATAATTAAGAGTTTTGAATGTTCTTTAAAGACTCTTCTGCTCACAAAGGCTGTATTAATTAAAAAGTAAAAACTGTAATATTGTGAAATATTTTGAATTGTTTATTAACTGCAGTATTCAACATTGATAATAATCAGAAATGTTTCTTGAGCAGCAAATCAGCATATTAGAATAATTTCTGAAGGATCATGTGACACTGAAGACTGGAGTAATGATGCTGAAAAGGATCACAGGAATAAATTACATTTTAAAATACCGTATATTAAACAGTTCTTTTAAACTTAAATAACATTTCACAGATATTACTATTTTTACTGTATTTTGACCAAATAAATTAATTATTAAAAACTTTTGACCAGTAGTGCTGTCACAAACGGTTGTGGCTAGAAGGGATACAGCTCAGACCGGAAACGAACAATTAAATTAATTTTCTACCTATTAGATTGTGTTTTATTAACGTCTACACCTACACCTACCCCAACCCTAAACCTACCCCTTACAATAATGAAAAAATAGTAATTATTGTTGTACAGTGTGACAAAAATTACGCTGTATTGATGTGCGCATGCCCAGTAGCACCATACATATCCCTTCTAGCCTTAACCATCATAAACTGCAGGGTGACAAAAATCCAAATGGGACACAGGTGCAAACAATGAGTACTGATGAGACCGGGCAGAGGACTATGGGGAATGAAGTCCTTGATAGAGTGGCAGTAGACTGGGATGGAGTGCCCTCTGGTGGATATATAGAAGTCGTGGCCTAATGGTTAGAGAGTCGGACTCATAACCCAAAATCTTTTTCAGTCTCTATTGTATTTTAAAGGTATAGTTTGTTCTCATTTCAACGTTGTTGTAGTTTGAAAACAGCTGGTATATATTATTAAATAACACCACATGTGTGTACTTCATTAATAATAACTTCGTTATTGTTTATTTCTGATTAATTCAGAAAAAAAGTGTATCTAACGTTACCTTCATTCAGAATAGTAATCCATAGCTGGCAGTCTATTAGCATAGCACGTAAGTCCTGTCAGAAATACCTACCCATTATCACACAGCAAAGTCATTCTCTGTATACTATAAAAAATACACACAAAAAAGAGAAGGAAATAAAAGGGCTCCCTACGTTTACCTTTTGATTTCTAACGAAAACAACCAACAAAGACGAGGCTAGTACGGGTTAGCAGGCTCGTGGCGTCACTGATAAATACACCCGGATAGAAAACGGAGCCTGTGCTAGAAGGTTCCTATTAACGTTGCGTTCGAAACGGATCGGCGGGACTTTATTTCAGTAACTAAAATGTTTTAATGCAAGAGATCTGTTACCTTAACTTATATAACCTGCAAAAAATAAAATAAATAAATAAAACATTAAAGAAACTATTAGTTTCTGTATGACACTGTATCCTTCTCTAGGTACAATAAAGTATCAAATGTAGGCTATAAGCTTTTTGTAGCCAAGACTTCAAAGTTTTGTGTTTATAGCCTATATAACCTGACTTTTATTCACTGCAAAATGTGTGACAACTAGCCCCGGCCTCCCTTATTAGTGATGAAATTTATAAAGCGCTGCATAAGTGCATAAAAATATTACAAAATAGAAACGAATATAATATACAGTGTCATACTAATTATTATTTTTTCACGCATTTCTTGCTTGCAAAACTAAAGGCAACCACAAGAGATCGCTCTTATACAGCTATTGAAAGTTGAGCGACCCATTGATATTTTTGCTAACACTTGATTTATGTCATTTCAGTGCATTCATTTATCTGAAAATTGTTTACTGTGTGTATAAAATTCAATTAAGCAGAGGTTATTTTTTATTCGGTAACAGCTGGACAGACTGAGTTACTTCAGTACCTAGAGACCAAAATTTCACTTAGGCTATATTTTACATACCAGCCCCGAAGGCGATAAATCATTCAGAAATAGTGATAAAAACATTTCACTCTAGTTTTTTACCTCCCCGCCACTTTGGAGTTTAAATGTATTCCAGTGTTTCTATTAAATTACGTGCATGACATAATTCAAAAAAGAACAAACTGAGTTTTTAAGGCCTGTCACAAATGCTGCACTGGATGACAACAACACTCATATGTCACCAGAATGACAGAAAACTGTATGTGGAGTTAAGAAGGAATCAGGTGGTCAGACACAATTGAACCAACTAGGAAAAAACTGCAAAAAGCTCTCGGCGAAGGCCGACAGATAATCATTAAGCCTACGTAAATATTGGTTAATCCGATAGCTACCTGGCAGAGTCCGATGAGACATAAAAATGTCAAAGAGACTAAACTATCCCGTTTGGATTGTGATCGTTAGGGAGTCGTATAGCCTAATTGTAAAAATGTCCCAAAACAAGACTGTGTGTCTGTGTCAATCGCTATGTTTCCATCCACTTAGCTTTATGCGCATTTTGGAATTTTGCATAAAAAAACTCTGGATGGAAATGCCAAGATGCGCTTAAATTCTAAAAAATACGCATAAAAACACGTATGCGCACAACTGTGTCGGATAAACTTTTTATCCGATAAGAAAAAATGCGCATAAACTAAAATGGAAACACATTTACCGAATAAAACCCTCCATGCGCATCAAAAAGGTCATGTGAGTTTGCGGATACCTGGACTAATCTCGTTGCACAGCATCTGAAATGTTGTTATGGTCTTTCTTAAATGCCTGAGTGTAACGGAGGCCAGCAGTAGGTGCTGTGCAGGTAAACGACTGACGCTAGTGGCTGCAGTTAGTACCTTGTTAGTGCGTCCGCCTCCCATGCCGGAGACCCACTCGGAGCGAGAACGAGGTGTGGCGGAGAGGACCCGGGGGAGAGGGGTTACATTGGTGCCGTGACCCGGATGGGAGTGAGGATTAGGGGGGTGAGTGTAACGGAGGCCAGCGGTGGGTGCTGTGCAGGTAAACCTCACTCCCCTGATCTCAAGAGATGCACTAGCGACTGACGCTAGTGGCTGCAGTCTTTAGCCTCCTTGTTAGTGCGTCCGCCTCCCATGCCAGAGACTCACTCGGAATGAGAACGAGGTGTGGCGGAGAGGACCCGGGGGAGAGGGGTTACATTGGGGCCGTGACCCGGATGGGAGTGAGGGTTAAGGGGGTGAGTGTAACGGAGGCCAGCAGTAGGTGCTGTGCAGGTAAACCTCACTCCCCTGATCTCAAGAGACGCACTAGCGACTGACGCTAGTGGCTGCAGTCTTTAGCCTCCTTGTTAGTGCGTCCGCCTCCCATGCCGGAGACCCACTCGGAGCGAGAACGAGGTGTGGCGGAGAGGACCCGGGGGAGAGGGGTTACATGAGCAAAGCCTGTCGTCAAAGTATTTCTGTATAATTGCCTCCCAGAACTGTCTTCCACAACTGTGTTCCCAAACAGCAGCATCCTCCTCCGAAAGCAATGACCGCATTTATTGTGTTTCGTCTGCTCGCTCTGAGGCGCAAGTAATTTATTATATATGAAAATTA